ATTCCAGGACACCAAGCACAAAAGCAACTCGTGTCCATAGAAAACAAAAATCTTAAAAATCCGTACTCCTTTAACTGCATGCAGCCAACTCTTTCACTTACTTACTCAATCTTTTCTTTCCCTAGATAAGACCCAATCTAACCTCACAAGCTGTTGCTGCAGGGTTTGGAACTGGAGAACAGATGATAAAAATATGATCCTTTTCAATGTTTTTTTGGTCTATAGCTGTCTTCATTTGTTATCCGTGAGGCTCTATTCACCCAAGAGGGGAAAAAAAAAGCCGCCATCAACCTTCCCTCTGCCTTCCCACTGCCAAAATTAATGTGCAGACTTTTTTTCTATAAAGGGAAGAGTTAGGTGGGAACAGCTCTTCCGACACGTTGACTAACAAAACGTGAGTGCTACACACCGTGCATGGAAGGGAGCCCAGTTTGGATTTGGGAGCTGCACAGTCACATACAAGGCCCTTCATTGCATAACCTGGCACACAGACACACAGCTGTGCAACCCAGCTGGGAGACGGGGGAGGCTAACAGCTCCTTGAATTCCCCCCTGTAATCCAGCACTGCCACATTCAGGCAGTAACACTGGGGAAGGTATGCACAGCATGACACCAGACTGATAAGAGTTAAATTAAACTGGTTTGGGAAACAAGTCTCAGGACCATGGGTAAACATTCATCCATATTACTATACACAAATAAAATTTAATTCCTTCTTAATGACCCAAAAATAAGACTTGACAGTGATGTTTTATCTAACAAAATAACAGATTGTTGCATATTCTCTGGCTCTGTTACCATGGTGCTCAGCTATCCTTGAGCATATTATCTAGAAGAGTTATGTCCTCCGGGTATCATGGTGGTAAAAGCCAGCCCAGGACTGACATTGTACAAGTCAGTCCTTTTTTGTAGAGCTGTATTCTGAAATGCTTAGATCACTGACATGAATGTCAGCACGAAGGACTGCCATAAAGCTTCTGGCACTACCAGTGAGGTCATGGTGGAACAGAAAGAGAAGGCCAGAGTATTTACTTTTCAAATATTTTGAAGGAAAAATGTTTAATCATCCATTGACTGCTACAGGTGGCTGAGGAACAAGGCAGTCAAGGAAACAGATGCAAAAAAACTGTTGAAATACCTAGGCTTCTTCCTGATACCTAGGCTTCTTCCTGATGAAGACATTTCTCTCGAGCACTGCTGGTACCTCAGTGAAAAACAGATGATCCAAATGCATATTTTTCCTTGAACATATTACAGCCATTCCACACAGGTATTGTACTCATCACCAGTTATTCATTAAGCAGCATGACTAACATCTGTCATGTGCTGTTTGTTCACTCATTATCTGTCCATGGGCAAAGAAGTCTGTTGCAGTGGTATGCAGGTTGTTTTGGTAAAGGTTTTTATTATGATTTACTATGTGTTACTGTACATTCAGAACATAAAATGTGCTTTTGTAAATACTTAAGCCAAAAGGTATGAACAATCCCATTGAGAATTTTTGAACTTTCCACAAATGCCTCATATAAAATTCTGCATCATCTGCAGACCACCCTTATCCTCTCTGTGTGCACTGGACTGCATCAAAGAACCAAAACTGCTCATGATAGTCACGACAGGGCACCCCTCAACTTAGTTAAACCATCCAAGGCTGGATGCATAACACTTGAAGGCAACGTTGGGGGTGTCTAAATTTCAACAGTAAAAAAATAAACGAAAGATGCAGTGTTGACAGGCATTGAGAACAGTCATCAACCAGCCAAAAACAGGCTCATAAGTGAAAAATGGCAGAGGCTTGAAGAGAGGCCCATAGTTCAAGCCCTGTATAACATGCAATCTTTGCCACTACATGACAGGTTTCTTTTGCCCAAATAATGCCTTTTACTTGCTCCATCTAAAACATTTTCTGACATTTAGTCATTCATTCCAGGCTGTCCTAGGAAACATCTGTACAGCAAATGTGTCTTAGACATACAGCTTGGATGAAAGAGATTTCCTTTTGGACTGGACAGCCTGAAATAATGTCCTATGCAAATAATACAAATGATTGATACTTGTGGTATTGCTCACCACAGTGCTTTCTGCTGTTTCTCCCTTGATTTTTAATGAGATTTAAAAGCCTGTGAGTGAATAACCCCAGTCTTTTGATTAACTTAGCTAGCATGAAAAGCTGTGGGGCCTATGTGGCAGGTGCTGTGGGTTGACAATAGGGGTACTGTTTAATCTAAGGGAAACAAAGAGGAGAAAAAGGCCATGAATAAAAGGATATAGGATCTTTTCTGAGGTCAGGAGAAGCATTTTAGATCAGGAGGTGCAAAGAGCGGCCAGCTACACAAAACATTCCTGCTTGCCAGCAACATGACTACTTGGCCAGCAACATGAAAGTATACCTTGTAATTTGCTCTGCAAAACACAATGGAATCAAAGTCAAATATCTTAAGCACCTGAAGTTTGTCGATACTCAGTGGATCGCCTCTACTTGCAGGAATAGCTGGTTATGGTCCCTTGGGGAATAAACTATTCTTCTGGATGTTGCTCCTTACCAGGCTCACCTCTTTTAAACCCAGAGAAACACAAGGAGACAGTCTAACAAGTGCAATAGCATTTCAACACAGGGAAAAATGGTATGTGATTTACAGGCTTGTTTGTTTTTAAATATGGACTGACTCAGTTACTGAGAGTACTAATTATGCAATCAGTGATTGGGAGTTTAGAGTGGAAAGTAGAAATGTTGAATCAAAATCACAAACAAACTTTCTGTAAAATGCCTGAAAGTGTTTTTGCTCTTGTCTGTGCTCTGCAACTGCAGTGGGTTCAGGGTCATTCGTGTCATTCCTTGTGCCTTTAAGATACTGTTTCAATGTATAAATGGGCCTTTAGAGACTTAAAGACAGATGGAGAAGAATACAGTTTCAAAATTTAATCAAATGCCTTCCAGTTACGAAGCACAGATGTTCAGGGTCAGGAACACACAAGTGCAGCATTGCTGTAATGTGTGAGGCTACTGCTGCTGCTGTCCGAGTAACCTAACCACTTGCAGGTGACTCAGAAGAAGGTGCAAGAGCACGAAAAGGAAAATTATATCTAATTTGCCTACTGAAAGTTCTTCAATTCTTTCAGTCACTTGCCATAAGTACTTATATACAATTTTTTCAAATCAGCGAGTGAGACAATGACAGATGCTCAAATTATTAATTTGTGGCCAATGGCTTTTCAAGTTTTGCAAAGGTCTTGGGCCAAGTGATAACACCTGGGAATAATTTTCATGTGGTAATTGTGCATCATGAAATTCTTCTTTTCCTTTTAATTAAAAGGAAATTACAGCCTTTCAACTTCATGAAGCATCCCCCATTTTTCCCTTAATAAAAAAATTAGCATAGTTTATGACATTTTAAAAATGTTTATTATGATGCTTTTTTCCTTACTATTCCCTCTAATATATATAAATTAATTTTTTTTTAACTACTGCAGTTTGAAAATCCTTTTTTCTTTTTAATGCTTCCTTTAAATAACTGGAAAATCCCATGCAAAGACTGATCACTTAATGTGTTTGTAGATTTCGTGGTTTCTCCAGTCCTGCTTTTAGGCTACTAGGAACCTCTTGCGGATGTGTTTTTATTGAGCACTATATACATTAGCAGAAGGACTGCTTAAGGACCATGTGATTGGAAATATCGATGGGTATCCATTGGACCTGATTCAGTTTTATATAGGTATCTCTAACCAATGCATGTTCCTCTGCCTTATATGTACACTCCTTTTTGTTTTCTCATACTCTTGCATATTTCCTACCTTTCTCCTTTGTCTTTCCCATTCTCATCCATTCCCCCTCTTCCCATTTCAACTATGTCTGCACAGGTTTATCTCAGCCTTTTAGCTTGTGTACTCCAACTGAGTACCTATACACCCCAAATCTCTTAGTGTTGATGCAGTTGATATGAACTACTCTACTTTTTGAGAGTTTACTTCCTGTTGTGGGGGCTGAAGGAGAAAGAGAACAAGTTACCCTCACAAAAATGTTTGTAAGATGAACCGTGTCCACACCAGAAGCACTTTGCCAGTGTGCGTAACACCTCACTGTATCTCTCCCTGACCCATTTAACCGCATTTCCAGCTCCATTCAAACACGGAGGGGCAAGGCTTGTGCGTCGCTGTAAGCAGCCCCTGCAGAAGGCTTCACAAACAGGGTGAGCTTCAGCCTTGAAGATGTTTTGAGCATCTTATGGAAAATCACTACCCAGTGTTTCCCCCTCCCTCCCAAACACATAGACAGGGACTTAGCGATATTTATTGAGGGTACCAAAGGAGATGCAGTTTCTGCTCCTAATGATCTTCAATGCCCACGTGTGGACGTCTCAGGGAAGGGGTGAAATGCGCGGACAGACATCTTTTCTCCTCAAAGCTCCTGCTCAGCTTCCCCCCATGCTTCCACGCATCCAGGGCAAGCCACACACCTCATTTCACAGCCTCCCGGCGTCGAAAACGAGGAATTCCGCTGAACCTGCCGGCATGAGGGAACAAGTAAAATAAAACTGAGCGACGTTACCTGTTCTTACCCTGACTGGGGAAAACACAGAAAGGAACGCACGGACGGCTGTGGGCGCAGCGACCAACCGCGCTCAGCGGTTGAGGCCGGGGCCGGGCCGCCCTCTCGGCCCCACACCGGCTCCCGGCAGGCAGGGCAGGAAGAACGGAGGTCGCGGCCCCGCTCCCCTTCCCTCAGGCGGCCCCTCGGGGGCTGGCGATGGCGACGGCCGGACCCCACCGCCGCCCTCCCGCGCTACGGGGACCGCCCGCCCCCGGCCAGGCCGCGGGCCGGGTCCCCAGCCGCTCCCCGGCGGCAGCGCCGCATGCGCGAGCGGGGGGGAAGAGAGGAAGCGGGAGAGCACCAGATTCAAATCGCTGTTCTGGAGGGAGGGGAGAAAACTAGGGGAAGGAGACAGCCCGGGGGAGTGGAGCGCTGCGGAGGAGGGAGGAGGAGAGAGTGGGTGGGGAGTGTGGAAGACTCTAAGGGAACGCGGCAGAAGCCGGGAGAGGAGGCACGGCAGACGGCCGGGGTAGGCAGAGGTGTCAGGGGAAGGACAGGGTGGCTTTGGGCACCCACGGCCGCAGCGTGGGGCACCCGCCCCGGCTCGCCCACCCGCCGCGCTCCGCCCGCCCGCCCGCCCGCTTTGCCTACCGCCAGCACCATGGTGGACAGGGGCCCCTTGCTGACCTCGGCCATCATCTTCTACCTGTCCATTGGGGCGGCGATCTTCGAGGTGCTGGAGGAGCCCCACTGGCGCTCGGCTACCGACAACTATAAGCGGCAGAAGACGGAGCTGCTCAAGCAATTCCCTTGCCTGGGCCAAGAGGGTCTGGACAGGATCCTGCAGGTACAGCAAACGCCGCCGGCGCGGGGACCGGGGCTGGGGCCGGGGGGTAGCAGCGGCAGCAGGTGCTGCCGGGCGCCCTGGAGCGGAAAGCCCCGCGGCCGTGGGCGGGCGGGCTGAGGAACCAGCCGGGACCCGGCACAGCCCGACGGCGTCTGTGCCTTCACAAAGCCCGGTGCCGAAAAACTGTCCCTCGAGCGGGATCGGAGGGAAACCTCTTAATCGTTCCTGACTACTTAATGACAGAGCCTTAAAATGGGTCCGCGTTGCCTTCTCTTTCCCTGTGAGTGCTAAAGGAGCCGGGGGTTGATTTTCAGCGGATCGGCCCAGAGGTGCCGTCCGGAGTGTGCTCCCGCCCTCTGCTCAAGCCGGCGCCCGTGAATGCGTCTCTTGTTTTAGCACCCACGGCGGTTCCTTCTGCCTCAATGGATGTTGTGTTAAGAGGAAGGGAAGGTGAAGCAAAGTGTCTCGATCCTCTTGTGTTTGGTCTGATTTTCTTCCCTTTCTCTTGTTTTCTTTTTATTACTTCCCTTACTAAATGCCTGGGGGTCGTGCAGGTCGGTCGGGGTAACTGGGGGAGAGGCTCGCACGGAGGGATGCTCGCAACTCCTGCGCTGTTATACTCTAGGAGACTGACTTTTTTCCAAGCCATAAGGAGTTGATAATCGTCCTGTCTCGCTCATCTGGCAGAATGCTCTTCAAACCTAATTATTAATCGATAGCGTGTATTAAATCCGAGAGCAATATAAACTTACTTAGTACCTTCTTATGGACGTGGAATCCGTAAAAATGTCGTGGTAAGCAGTAGTGAACTATGAAACACAGGCTGCCCAGATATGTGGGGCTCCATTGGTGAGAGTGAGCCATTTGGGACTTTAATTTCAGAAGTATTTATACCGAGTAGATTTTCTGTTCATTATGTTTGATTTTTTATAAAATTACTTTGTTTTCTAACAGTAAACTTCACTAAAAGTCGATTGAAATGCTCAAATACAGAAGAATGGCAAAGTGGCTCATTAGTTTTCTTGGTGTAATCGATACTGTTCAAGCTTGGAAGAGTATAGATTCTTTATCCTAAAAGTTTGTGGTTAAAAGTTCCCTTTCTTCGGTTGGTGGCTTCCTTCTGTCTGCTTCTGATAGCAGAGCTTTCTGGTCGCAGTGTCCTTATTGTTCCCATCTTTAGTGCCTTTTTAAGTGTCTGTGGCATTTAGTGGAACAGGTGGGTAGAGGGTTGAAACTATAAAGAGATGTTGGAAAATGAAAGACATGTTATGTGTTTGGAGTATGTTTTTGCTGTTCTGGAGTCTTAATGAAGTCTTGCTCTAGTTTATATCCCAAACCTGTTTTAATGTCCTCAAGGAAAAAAGCATTGTTTGGATTGGGATGTGCCTGGCACGCTTAACTTGCTGCAGACATAATGCAGAATCTACATTCTACCTCAATTTATTATGAAAATTATGTTGGTATGAGGGAATCATTAACGGGGTTTTATTTTTTGGGTATTTTTTCCCATGATGTGTATCACAATGAATCCTGAAGTGGCAGAAAGTTGGGGGGTTTTTGGTTTTGGAGTTTTTTTCCTTAAAATACAAGATGATCATGAAAAAACGTGGAGGGCCTTTCCTCTTCAATGCATTAGCCCCTCATGATAATATTATACGTGGTTTGAGGTTTCCCTCTGCACTTCTTTCAATCCTATCCTACTTTCTATGTCCAGTCTTGCTAGTCTGATGATCCCACATAGATATTCTGTTGTCATCCTAAGTTCAGGTTAGCTCAAATGTAAATGATTTTATTTCACTCTTATTGGTAACTGCAAACTTTACTACCTGCTCTCTTAGACTTGTAGTTTTGTCCCTGTTCATATTCAACTTCTATGTAAGAAGTGATGGGAAAGAGGGGAGTGTGTCATAACTGTCAGAGGACAATGGCAGGGTGAAATCTAACCTAGCTGAGGCTAACTGATGAGGGGGGGGGAATCATGTAAGGACATCAGGATTCTGTCCCGAGTAAGCTGTAAAGTATATAGAAATAGTCTTTGTAGTTGTCCCTTCTCAGCCACTCAATGCTGCTTCTGTTGTATCTTTAAAGCATCGCTAGCATCTCTTTCACAAATCCTGATCATCCTCTTCTCTTGTTAAACCTCCACATTTATTCTCTATTCACAGCCAGAACGTCGTTGATTTGAAAAATGGGCTTTTTACACCTCCCCACCCATCCTCATCCCCACTTCTATCTTGTTCCTCTGAGCCTCTTCCTCTGGCTTCTTCCAAGGACTCCCTAAACTTGTTCTTGGGATTTTCCGTGGTTTAACTCGTTTTTCTGCTGTTGTCCCTTTTTTTAATAGGTGATTTGATCTTGAAGGGTTTTCTTTCACTCTGTTTTTGGTCCCCACTGATATTCCTGTGACTTTACAGAGCCATGTTGAGCTTTGCTGTTAGTTCTCTGATGTTCTATTTAAGACAATCTTCTTAAGCAAATATCACCAAATGTAGAATTTGAAATGGCTGTTGGTAAAATGCAAGGATGCCAAGAAATATTCAAGTTGAACTAACAATACCAATTTTGTTTCCAGAAGCAGCCTGAAAGGTGACAAGGACTGACTTATTCAGAGACGGGTCTCTCTGCTGCCCTTGTTCCCCACCCAGGTTAGCTCGTGTGTTCTTTGAGCCTAATGCTAGCTGTAAGTGCAATGGAAACTGTGTGGAATGACTACAAAGCCAGATCTGCAGCATTGATCTTGAGCACTTAAAAAGACAAATAGGTTATCAGCACAGATTCTCAGCTCAGGTACAGATCAGCATCTCTGTACCAACAGTTTGACTGATTATTAAGTGGGCTTATTTGGTCAAATACTAAGTTTATATTCTGTAATAAAAATTTCACAATGTATTACAGTAGAAATACACCATAATAAATGTTTATTGAAATGTGTTTAACACGCAGAAATTTACAAGCTGAGTGTTAGAGGATATGCTAAAAAGAAAGCCTTTTCCCTCCATCCTGAGAAATGCCTAAAAATAAACTTGCTTAAAAGCAACTTTTAGGAGTCTCTTGTATGAAGAATCCATTTGCTTTTGATCGTTGAGAGCACTATACTATTTATCATAACTGTAAGAGGTAAAGTACTTAAGGACTTCTCAGAGTAACATTATGTAGACCCTGATTTTAAAGGTGGCTCACCCTGGGCAGTGTATAGGCTGGTTTCTGCCTGTCCATGTTCTTCTGGGTAGAGCTGATTGCTCACATATAAATGTGGCTGAGATGCCACATTATTCACATTATTTAATCCTCCAAAGACCCTCGACCACAACTGTGTATTTGAAACAAGGAGCTGTGTAATCCCCCATCTATGTACAATTACTTGGGAAGAGAAATGTCTCATAACTCTTTGGAATATGTGCAGAAATTAACATTGTTAGTATTAATGTCACTATATCATATTTATCATCATTGTAGGATCTTAAAAGTAGTGTAACAGCTTCGTCTGTTGATACAATTCTGTGGCTTGTCACTGCCACTTGTTTCAGTGGCCCTAAGTCCTGGGACTCTTTAGGAAGGGCAGCAAAGCAGGGATTCAGTGCTGACCCCTTTATCTACCCTGCTGTAGGAGGGAGTTTGGAAGACTGAACCAAATATAAGTTGATTCAGTCATTTCCCATTTCAGTCATTTCTCCAGTTCCTTACTTTTACTCTTTATTGCTCCATGCTGGTTGTGAAACATCAGCTTTAATGATAAAGGAGCTATTCATGCAAGGAGGTGCCCTCTTGACCCTCATGTCTATTCACACGCGAGCAAAGGTTTGCCTATGCTGGGCCACGTCTTATTTACCAGGAAATCTTCTACTTGCCCACCAGTCATTGAAAAATGATACTCTTCCCATTGATAAACATCAAGGCTGGTGAAAAGAAAAGGAATCATTTGCAGATGAGTGAAAATGGTTACTTTTAAAACAGCAATAAAATGAAAAGAGAAACTGCTGCCTGTGTTTAGGGGAAGCAGACAAACATACTGAGTATGAGAAAAAATAATTGGAGTCTTTATTTGAAAAGCATACAAGACTCTAAGCAGGCCTGAAATATAACTTTGGAAACCTAAATGTTTAGACTTAAAGCCCAGTGCTGTGAACAAACACTTTAGAAGACTTTTAAGGATGGCTGCTGGAATATACATGGCACATGATTTATGCTAAAGAAAATAACAGTTAAGTGAATTAACAGTAGTTTCTCCCCTAGTTTTTAAAGTGTCTTCACTTTTCACAAGTACCTGCAGGTGCGTTTCCAGGATTTTGGTTTGTGTTTGAAAATGGTGAAGCTTGCTTGGATGTTCTTGCTTGAATATTCGTGGAAATTGAGAAAATTTAAGATTATTCTCTGCTTCCGAACATTGTTTGCCACATTGCTTTAATTTCAAGCTGCTACCTCAAGGTTTAATCTATGTGCAATACTTTTGCAAGAGTGTACAAACTAGAAAAACTAAAGTTTTCTTAAAAATTTGGACTAGGTTTTCAGTGCTTTGTTCAACATGTACCAGAGATGATGGCTTTTGCTTAGCCTTTATTGAGTGATTTGTTTTTCACTGTGAAGTTAATAGGGGCATCTTTTTCATAATATTTTCCCTTTTTTGTGCTCTTCAGGAGATGCATAAATGAGATTCTAGACTTACTTGGGTTTGTTTGTTTGCTCTTTACCGTCCTGATCCCTTTCATTGAACATGTTGAAGGTGGGGTGGATAAATAGGGGACTGAATTAATTATCTGGAATTCCAGTTGACTTGTCTCTTTTAAGGCAAAGCCTTTTTCATAGTCTGAGCAAAGTGAAGCTGAGCATCTTTCAAACAAGGACGAGTGACTGCCAATGAAACAGAGTTGTTAACTGCTTCTAATATCTTTCATATGAAATCTTGACAGTGTAAATTAAGGCTTATGCATGTGAAATAGGTGTTCCTAGATTTTTCAAATTTATATCTTAATTATGCATCGTCTAAATTCAGCAACTATAAT